CAAACCATGAACGCACCACTGACCTAAGTAAGTTGCAGATCATTGTATACTTCACTCCTGCCAGTGGTTATATCATTTAACTAGGGTTTAATATTTGCTTATAGTGCTTTATTTTTTGAGGCAAATTTTATGTAAAGTAGAATGCACAGGCCTTAAGGGTGCTATTTGATGGACTGTGAGAAATGCATACACCTGTTACCTTGGACTCAACATCTCTGTCACCCCCAAACACATTCACTTGTTAAAGTACTACTATGATGGAGGTGGGGCCTTTGGGAGGTAATAAGGTAATGAGGGTGGAGTCTAATGATGGAATTAGTATACATATAAGGGGAAGGACTAGCACTCTTTCAGCCACATGAGGATAGATAAGAGAAGACAGCCCTCCTTAAACAAGGAAGAGGCCCTCTACCAAGAGCCTGACCATACTGGAGCCCTGATCTGGGACTTCTATCCTCCAGAACTGTGAAAAATAATGTGTATTGTTTAACCCATCCAGTCCATGGTATTTTGTTATGCAATCTGAACTAAAACACCCGTGTAACTCTAACCCTGGTCAAGTTACATACTTTCATCTGAGTTTCCTCCTCCTCCATCCCTACTCCCAGTTTTCACCGTACACTAATTCTATCTACCTCCTAGACTTCTTAACAACAGAATTGTAAAATATGCAGCCTTTCACACAGATTTCTTTCACTCATCATAATGTCCATGATATTCATCAATATTATTGCATATATATTTTTCCCTTTTCTCAATTGTGTACTAGTATTTAATTGTGGGATTATACCATTTCATTTATCCATCTCCCCCTTTTTATAAGTTTTTATTTTAATTCCAGTTAGTTAACATAGTGTTATTGATGTTAGTTTCAGGTGTACAATATAGTAATTCAACACTTCCATATAACCTATCTGTTCTTTTGATGGACTCATGAATCACTTTAGTTTTTTTAATTACAAATAAACTTGCTATATTCTTGAACAAGTCTTGAGGTGAACATATTTTCAGATATCATCAGTAAACACCTAAAACTAGAATTGTGAGGTAAGAGGGTGGTGTATGCTTAGTTTTATAACAAACTGCCAAAAGTTTTCCAAAAAGACTGTATCATTTTACACTCCTACCAACTCTTTAGTTCTGACTGATTTCTTTTTTTTTGTTTGTTTATAATTTTTAATTATTTTTTTTCATATTCTCAATTTCAAGCATTTATTTTTCTTTTTTTTACAAATAGTTTATTGTCAAATTAGTTTCTACATAACACTCAGTGCTCATCCCCAAAGTGCCCTCCTCCATGCCCATCCCCCCCTCCCAAGTTCTGACTGATTTCTGTTTATGCCCAAATTTGATGTTATCAACCTTTTTAACCATTCTTGTGGGTGTGTAGTAGTATCTTGAGATATGATATACCACATTCTCATTATCATTCAGTTGAAGCTACTCTCAAATTTCCCTTGTGATTTCCAATTTGATCCATGATTTATTCAGAAGAATGTTATTTCTCAATACTTGGATTTATCTTGTTACCTGGTTGTTACAGATTTAATTCCATAGTGGTCAGAGAAAACCCATGTATGATTTGAATCTTTTTAATATTTAAGACTTGTTTTATGGTCCAGTATGTTCTATCTGGAAATACCATGTGCACTTGGAGAGAATGTACCTGCAATTTTGGGGGTTACTGCTCCATTTATAGTTAGGTCGTGGTGGTTGTCAGATCTTCAATTTCTTCACTGATTGTTCTTTTTTGTCTAATTCCATGAAGTGCTGAAAGATTGTTAAAATCTACTTGCTTGTAGATTTGTCTCTTTGTCAATTTTTGTTTCATGACATTTGAAGCTCAGTTGTTAAGGGCGCACAAACTTAGGACTAATATAACTTCCTGACAAACTGACCTTTAATCATTACCAAATGCTACTTTTTATCTCCAGAAATTCTCACGGTTAAAATCTACATTATCTAATATTATCTGCTCTCAATAAGCCCTGGTAGCAAATTCTGACATTGTCTTCTTATTGTTTCTACTTCCATCTATTTACTTGCAACTTATGCCTTTATATTTAAAGTGCATTCATGCAATCAGCATATAGCCAAATCTTTGGGTTTTAAACCCACTTTGACTTGTTTTTTAAGGGGAATTTTAAACCTAAAAATTACATTTAGATGCAATACAATTATAAATGTGGTTATATGGAGTTCTCCTGTTTTGTTATTTGGTTTTTTGGCTGCTTTGCTTTTTTGTTATTCTTTGTTCATCTTTTCCTGCCTCCTTTTGGGCAAACTGTATTCTTTGTTTCTTTTTTTTTTTTTAATTTAAAATGTTTTATTTCTTTTTTTTAAATGGCTTTTTTTTTTTTTTAATTTCTGAGAGAGAGAGAGAGAGAGAGAGCGTGAGCAGGGGAGGGTCAGAGAGAGAGGGAGATACAGAATCCAAAACAGGCTCCAGGTTCTGAGCTAGCTGTCAGCACAGAGCCCGACGTGGGGGTTGAACCCATGAACTGTGAGATTACGACCTGAGCCGAAGTTGGACGCTTAACCGACTGAGCCACCCAGATGCCTCATGTTTTATTTATTTCTGAGAGAGAGAGAGAGAGAGAGAGAGAGAGAGAGAGAGAGAGACAGCGGGAGCAGGGGAGGGTCAGAGAGAGAGGGAGATACAGAATCTGAAACAGGCTCCAGGCTCTGAGCTAGCTGTCAGCACAGAGCCTGACGCGGGGCTTAAGCCCCACGAACCACAAGATCATGACCTGAGCCGAAGCTGGACGCTTAACCACCTGAGTCACCCAGGCACCCCTCTTTTATTTTTTTTTAATTTTTTATTTTACAACCAAGTTAGTTAGCATATAGTGTAATAATGATTTCAGGAGTAGATTCCAGTGATTCATCTCCTATGTAGAACACCCAGTGCTCTTCCCAACAAGTGTCCTCCTTAATACTCCTTACCCCTTTAGCCCATTCCCACCTATAACCTCTCCAGCAATACTCAGGTTGTTCTCTGTATTTAATGGTCTTTTATGTTTCGTCCTCCTCCCTGTTTTTATATTATTTTTGCTTTCCTTCCCTTATGTTCATCTCTTTTGTATCTTACATTCCATATATGAGTCATCATATGATGTTTATATCTAATTTCGCTTAGCATAATACCCTCTAGTTCCATCCACATTGCTGCAAATGGAGAGATTTCATTCTTCTTGAAACTGTTATTTCTTTGAATGTCATTCTAATACATGATGCTTTTCAGGTATATCATTTGCAGTTATTTTAAGTGGTTGCCATTTTTTTTGAGGGGGATAGGGAAGAGGGAGGGAGAGGGAGAGAATCTTAAGTAGGCTTCACCCAGCACAGTGGAGGTGGGGCATGACTCTGGGATGTATCTGACAACTGTGTAATTAAGACTTGAGCCAAAAAAAAAAAAAAAAAAAGACGGAAGCCAAAATTGAGCTGGCTTTAATGGACTGGGCCACCCAGGTGCCCCTAGTGGGTGAATTCTTAACACAGTCTTAGTACCAAACCACTTCACAAGAAATATAAGAATATAGCAATAGGATAGTTCCATTTATCACTTCCCTAGCTCTGTTGTCAGTGTATGACATTTGGCACTTCCAAAATCTATGTCCATAAGTTCTGAATTCAAGGAGAAACTCTAATTGCTTATGTGTGGCTATACAAATATAACACTTACCAAAATATCAAAGACCTAATGGCTCAGTGTGGTGTTCCATAATGTTCAGTGTTCTGTTATATGTATGTTTCAGTGATGGAGCGGCACTTTCCTTCTAGGTAAGATCCTAGGTTTTCCAAATATGATGATACATGATTATGATTTTTGTCCCATGTCAAGGCAAAATACTGGAGCCTGTTAATACTTTTTTCATAGGACATTTGACTCCAGGATGTGTTGGAAGTGAAGCAGAGTAAAATAGTTTCCAAAGCCCCCAAGGTCTGTGCCACCTACTAGCTCTCATATCCTAACAGTGGGGCAAGGTAAGGGTACCTGGGTACCTGAGAAATAAATATAACTCAGGAGCAGCTGACAGAGTATTGAATTCAGAGAGGCGCTAAAACTGACAGTGCTAGAAACTTCAGTCCCTAGAATCTCCTACTAAGTTTTCTTTTAAATATAGATTTTTAATCCCTAAATCTCCAGATATTGATTCAATGGGTTACAGGTCATAAGCCTAAGTATCTAAAACCTTCCCCATACACTGCATTGCAGGTGATCCATACATATGACAAAGTTCATATAGATACTTTGCCTTAGTTCTGAGTCTTTTTTAAATTCTGAACAGACCAGGGTGTGTATGAATAATTCTTCATCCTTAAGATTTCAGCCCATGTATCATCTCCTGAGAATCTTTATAGCGGCCATCTAAAGGACTCCTGTCTTTATCCTATATTCTTTTCTCTCTGTCTTTCTCTTCACAACACCCCGTCACCCCTTTATTTGCTCTATAGCGTTTATACTAACTTATACTTTATCTATCTCTCTCCCTGCACTGTAAATTCCCTTAACCAGACCACGATAAACTCCACAGGGTCTTATACAATGCTCAATAAACAATTTTTTAAAGGTGCTCAAATAATTGTCCAAATAATGACTCATTCTAAAAACAAAATCACAAGTTGACAAGCTCACCTGTTACGACCAAATATCTGAGTTCATAATATTCTCAGGAAAGCAAAGTCAGATACGACATTTACATTATAACCACTTCTCCAAACCAAACCGAACCTAGAGCACACCTAATGATGGATTCAATTCTAGATATAGTCCCAAGACTGATATCCGAGGAAGGCCAGGTTTGGGGGTTGGAGACCATTTCGAGCTAGGTCGGTCACATGTTTATATTGTTTACAAGCTTCATTTTGACCAATGAAATTAAATGCATACAAAAGTATGGGCAGTCAGGAGATACACGACCAAGATGAAGTGCAGAAAACAGAAACCTCTATCCGAAATCATCCCATCAAATGGAATCCATCTGGCAAGGATTTACCTAGCTCGTGTCTAATAGAACAGGTACCGCTCAAGACCGCAGGGGCCTCCCGCTGTGAACGTGAACAGGGTGAGATCGGCCTGGTGGGGTACAGGCGATTTGGCAGGGGAGAACCCGCCAGCCGCCACACTCAAACTGGAAAAGCCAAACCCCAAAACTGCTCACGTCAAGCATGTCGCAGCGCACCTCTTCCGGGATGCGTGTCCAAACTGCTCCGCGAACTGCGCCTGCGCACTGATGTTTCCGCTAAAGGACCAATGAACGGGGGCGTGGGCGGGCCATAGGCCAGAGACCTGTTTTCCGGTTCCGGCGGTCTCTCAGTCTGCTCTTGTGCTACGTGTCGCTGGCGTCAGAGGGCTTAGGGGGCAGGTGAGGATCTGTATCTTGGTGGGCTTGGGGATGAACCCTTTGTGACTAGCGGAGGCGAGGGTCGTGGGCGAGCCTGCGGCGAGGCCCTCCAGGGTAGGCGGGCTGAGACCGAGGTCCGGCGCCTCCGGCCGCCCGCAAACCTCCTCGCACGGCCGGCTAGGGAAGCAAAGGCCCTGGGCCGCAGACTCCCGAGGTCCCGAAGGAGTGTGGCTTTGACAGCCCCTGATCCTTCAGCGTTTAAAGTCTTGGCCCAGACCGGCTTTCCGGCTGTTTGTCCTGGGTCGCCTCTGTGTGCTGGTCTTTACTCTGTTGGGGGCTGCTGGTGTCTTCTGCGCTCTAGTCGGAGATGGTGGCGTAAGCTTGGCTTTGGGAGTTTGTGTGTAGCGTCCGGTCTTGGAAGAGCTATATTCAGCCCTGGCCCTGCCCCCACGTCTATAGGATAGAGTGAGAAGATTGGTATAGATTCTAGATCGAGAGATCTTAGCGTGTGATTGGACCCCTTCCCTTGAAAGTCAGTGCAGTGTTTTATGTGCCTTTCTTTTTCCTTCTGGAGGAAGTTTTTAACTTTTTAAAAAATGTTTTATTTATTTTAGAGAGAGAGAGAGAGAGAGCGTGAGCAGGGAGGGACAGAGAGAGGGAGACAATCCGAAGCAGGTTCCAGGCTCTGAGCTGTCAGCACAGAGCCCGACGCGGGGCTGGAGCTCGCTAACTGAGATCTTGACCTGAGCGGAAGTCGGAGGCTTACGTTACCGACTGAGTCACATAGGTGCCCTGAAAGTTTTTAGCTTTTATCAAGACGTCTATAAAATTTAAGCCCGTTGGATTTGAAGAACAAACAAGTGAAATACTAAGAAAACAGGCATTGCTGTGTTTTTGGAGGGACCCAACGTACTCGGCCCGGAATGTTTATAGAATTTTATTTAGGCCGCCCACCCTGGGTGAGGAAACTGGAGCTCAGGGAGCCAATATTTCCTAGACAGGGATTTGAACCACCACCTGCTCTCACAATGGTACTTATATTGTGTCCTGATCGCTGTTCAGAGCGCTGCAGATGAGGTTAGATGCACGTAATAAGTTGGCCTCATTCTTTCATACCAGTGGCTCTCGGAGCTAAGATTGGGTGGCATTTCTATTGGGCAATAGACTCCCCAGAAGAACCTACCTGATGAAATATATAGTGCTGTTTTCTTAAAAGGTGTGTCCGACCTAACAGTCTGGAGTTCATGTAATAGCTTCTCAGAGTCTGGATCTTGGTTTAAATGCTTTTTGTGGTTTTGAAAATTTGGTAGATCCTATTCCACAGAAATACACTCTTCTCTGAAAGTGTTGTGTGGCCGTGTTGCCTCTGGTCTGGTCTCTGGCAGCGTCCTAGTTGGCCTTCACCACACTTGAAGCTGGTTTCTGCAAGTGTAAAATAAAATATGGAAAATATCTACTAGCTCCCCAAATTGTTGGTTCCGTAGCAGGAACAGTGAGAAGATTGCGGAGTGGGAAAGGAATGGATGTGTTGTTAGTTGCTTCACTTGTCATGTTAGGAGCCCGTGTCCCTTGTCAGTGATAATCACATAGGTGAGACCTGTGTTTGTGTTATTGCCTTTGATCTGACACCAGAGTTTGCAAAAATAAGGTCCGTTTTGGCTTGGAGTCTGTATTGTTTTGTTCTGTTTTATGAATTGGAACTGACTTCTTTCAGACATAAATTCGTGGCTCGGTTCCTTTATATTTTAATATAATGGGTGGAGTTCTGATTTTATGATAAGCAGTACCAGTGTGCATCCTTTGACTTCTTTGTTTTTTTTTTAATAGGGATCATGGATCAGGTAATGCAGTTCGTTGAGCCGAGTCGGCAGTTTGTGAAGGACTCCATTCGGCTGGTTAAAAGATGTACCAAACCTGATAGAAAAGGTAATAGCTTTAAAATGGGAGGAAAGATGAAATCTTTGCATTTGCGAGTCTTTTCTTTGATATATTTCTGTTTAATAGCTGTTGCATTATTTTATCAACATTTTTAGTGATTCCTTTTGCGGTATTTTTTTTAAAATATTGTCACTTCCTAAACTTTGCACTTTTTTATACTTTACAGATTTTTCTGTTTTATATATTTTCAAATGGTGAAAGATAATTTATCACAGCCTTGTATTTCATGTTAGGTTTTGGCTTTAGTGGTATTTAATGACGTTAGAGTTCTTGGTGTCCATGTCGCCCACATTTCCACTCTGGAAAATCTTCTGGAGTCCTCCCTGCTCTGCCACCGCCCGTTTCCTCCCCCGAACAAAACCTTAATATGAAATCAACAGTATAGTTGTTATCAACTGACTAAGTTAAACTTCTTGTTTATCATGATTCATCTGTTAAAGGATGCACTAGAATTGATGTGCCTTTATTCATTCAAGTGCTTCCTGACTTAGGAGCTGGGAATATAACAGAATATAATATATTTTGTATGTAGTGTAATAAATATATTAAAATACGTAATAGAGACAAGTCCATGTTCTCGTGTAGCCTGGACTGTTTCAGGGAAGACAGTCATGAACGAGTAATGGCAGTTACAACTTTAATTACCGCTGTGGTCATTACCGTGGAAGAGAAATAGAAGTTCGGATAGCACATAATAGGAGGACTAGCTGAGTCAGCAGGGCAGAGGGGCTTCCCTGAGGAAGTAACATTAAACGGAAACATTACCAGGGTCTGAAACCTGGTTTCAGATTGTGCCCCGGCCAGCTTGATTTCTCAAACCTTATTCTTCACTTCATTATGATATCAAAGACAACAGACCTATTGTTTATTTTTAAAAAGGTCATGTTTTGTGTTTTTATAATTCATTTTTATTTTATTTTTTTTATTTTTGAGAGAGAGAGAGTGCGAGCAGGGAAGGGTCAGAGAGCAAGGGAGATAGAGGCTTCAACAGGCTCCAGGCTCTGAGCTGTCAGCACAGAGCCCAATGTGGGGCTTGAACTCACAAACCATGAGATCATGACCTGAGCCAAAGTCAGATGCTTAACTGACTGAGCCACACAGGCACCCCTATAAATAAAACTTTTAACAGTGTAACAAGTTTTAAGACAAATACTGTGTGTTTCTGTTATCCCTTTTTCATTTCTTTTTGATATTCTGGTCATTTGATAAGAAAATAGGACTATTTTGCTGCTTGTTGATGGAATCACTAGCATGAGCATACATTTTATTTCTATGTGTCCTTAAATATCAAATAAGAAAATTTAAAAATTTGTCAAGCAAACATTTATTAATAATGTCATGTTTTGTTTAATTTAAAATTATATATTTACTTTCAGGAGAAATGTACACCAGTAAGTTTATTTATATTGCTGCTAATTTTTTTTCCTATATTTGCAATGACAATACAAACAATTACCAAAATTTTGTGTTTTTAAATCCAGAATTCCAGAAGATTGCCATGGCAACAGCAATAGGATTCGCTATCATGGGATTCATTGGCTTTTTTGTGAAATTGATCCATATCCCTATTAATAACATCATTGTGTAAGTAAACTTTTGAAATAGACAATATCTAGGATAGAATTAGTATTGAAATCATTTGAGTTGGCAGCCTCTGATTTTGTTAATACACATGTCTTTTGACTTTTTAATGCTGCTGGAGTCTACTGGTATTTATTGAGTACCTGCTAATTTATGTTATACAGTCTTTATTAGCAACTCTGAGATACGCACAATTTTCTTTAATAAATAAAATTTTAAAGGATCAAGAAAGTTAAACCAGTATGTGACGAAGCAAGTGACAGAACCAGTATTCACCTTTAAGTCTTCTTTATGCTGTGTATTAAGTTGGTTTTTAAGGTGCAGAGGAAATGCTCCCTCTGTGAAAGTCACTGCAGTGATAAGAGTTCAGGCTCCAGACTCCATCTCTTAGGTTCAGATCCTTTTTCTTGTTACGTAATTGCTGTCATGACCTTGGGCAGTTTACTCAGCTTCTGTGAACTCCGTTTGTTCAATAAGGCTGATAGCTTTTATTTGGGTTATAGTAAAGAGTAATGATGTAATTCATGTAAAACCGTAAAGAACAGTTGGGGAAAGAACTGAAATGGAAGCTGGGCTGCCATGAGCCACGGGGACTGATGGAGGGTTTCTTACCCTTGAGCATGTTGGAGAGGAGAAGAAATACTGACAAACTGGGATGACTTACTTCTCCTAAATGCTTTTCTTTCCAGCTTGATTATAAGTTACAGAGAAGCCTAACAGCAGTGAGCAATTAGAATAGTCAGTTTTAGGCATTTTAGTTTGGTGTAAAGACGTTGTATAAGGCTTTACCTGCCCTTTAGAGATAGTAATACTTATTGGGCTTATTTTATGGCATGGGGAGGTTTGAAGCAATTATTTAGAAATGGTTTGTAAGCCTTAAATCTTTTAAGTACTAGGTTCTTTACTGTAGATGCTGGTGGAAGTTGTCTTGTAAATGACAAGTGACTGAGTGGTATTGTGAGATGGATTTCTTAAGTAGGTTATTGTCATTATTAAGCAGAAGTGCCACGAAGAGATACTTAAGATCAGAGAAAGTTAGCCCTTTTTCTCAACCTACTCCATGACTTCAGAAATCTCTATTCTGTTACTAGTGAGGATTACCAGCTCTGGAGTCGTGGGATCATGGAGAGAACAGTCAGATAGAATTAGAAAACCTGAGACTGCATGTCTCTGGGCTGCACTTGACCTCCTGAGTAAACAGAAGGGGTGGGTTGGAGTCTCTATGCAGTGACTTCTTTTCCATACATACAGCTCAATGCCTCCCGCGTCCCATTCCAGACAGGTTTAATTGATACAGTTAATTTTTTCAACTGATAGGGAACTTGTTTCCTGTAAACTC